TCTTCGTCGGAGCCTGCCCCGAAGATGGCCAAGAAGGAGCCGCCTATGGCCAGTGCTCCTCCCCCGGGAACGGGTGGACCTCAGCCTCCGGCTGAACCGCCCTTGCGACCAGAGGGATACCCTAAGTGGTACTTCTACTCCCCGGGAACGGGCGAGCGCAGGGAATTCATCGTTCGATGTACCGACCTGCCGGGCCTGAGGGACCTTGGAAGACTCAATCATGATGATTTCAAATTTTCGAAGAGGGTGACCGGGCTTCTCCGTGGGTATGATCACAAATTCCTCGAGGCGCACCATCGCCATATTCCTCCTGAATTTGATGAGGAGCTGTACGTGAACTTTGAGTCCATGTACACGTACCTCCGAAAGCGGCATCGTGCTCAGCTTTCGCGACAGGACTTGTACCTGATTCTTCGAACTCAGGACAGGTTCATGTGCCGTATTCAGGCTGGAATTGTCGGGGAACTGACAACCATGGACATGCCATACCGCATCACCCACGTGAAGGCCTGCCAAGGCCATGACCAGTCGCTCATTGACAAGGTGGGGACGGCTCCATTGGTTAAGCAAATCATCTCGCTTGACTACCAGTTCACGGTCGAGGACTTGAAGAAGGGATTCTACCCCAGGGTCCCCATTTATCCTCACCTGGCGGAAGCCGAGGTCCCAGAAGAGTTTAAGGTTATTTACCATTACACTTCATGGGACTCCCTCCAGCAGATCATTTGCACGGGGATTTTTCCAGGGGCCACTTCATGCAAGGGTCATGCTTATATGACCCGCCATGCGCCTTGGGAAATCGAAGGCAAGGATCCAGGCGTCAGAACGAACAGACCGCTGTGCATCGCGATCGACACCGATTGTGCTCTGCACTATGGTCTTCGCCTGGTGGAAACCTTGGCCGGTGCACTCATCACTGAGGACTGGGTGCCCAATCATTGCCTCATCTACGCATTCGATTGCGAGAAGTCGCAATACCTTTGGGCGAATCATGGCTACAACGGCGTGAAGAAGTACCTTCGGGACAAGGCCTCCGAGAACGCCCTCACTTGGCAGGAGAACGAGGCTCGGAAGGGCACTCCCAACTACGACGAACTTGAAAGGTACGAGGTTTCGGACCTGGAGGTGTTGAAGAACATGTTCGTGAATGAGTACGACCAGTGGAAGGATGTCATCACCTTGCGACGTCCGCTCATTTACAAGGAAGTTCCGACACCATATCCTGTCGTCGATGAGTTGCTCCCGAAGTTCAAGCAAAGGCCGCTCAACTTCACCAATCTCCTTTGTGTGGCACGCAAGCCGACGGCAACTGCTGCTGGCTTCGACATCGCCCCTGACAACGCGCGGGAACGCCGTTCTGATCGCTTCGATCAGGAGGCATTTGACCCTTCCGCGGAGGGGAACCTCACGCGCTGGCGGTATGTCTCAATGTTGGCTATGCCAGAATTGACACGCCCCCGGTGCAGGAAGATCTTTCCTGAGGGGATGTTGGTGTGCCTTGCGTGCGGCTTGTCGCTGGCGACTATGTCCGACATGCGCCGTGCGTGCCAGGTGTTTCGCTTGGAAGAGTTGGCGGAGAAGCTGGGCTTCGAGCTGACGTTGGACCTTCTGGGCGACGACGACGTAGCAGGCACCACCCAAGGTGCCAAGCAGATCAGATCTGTTGCGGCAGTCCTCAAAAATCACGCCCGTTCATATATGAAACAGGCGAGAAAAGCTGGACTGACCTTGCTACAGCGTCTGGGAACGGACGCCCATTACGCCTTTAATTGTGCGGTCCAGGACCTTACACCTCGGTGTATGCATTGGATTACAGTTTTGGGCAATGTGGTGCTTCCCTCCATCAAGCGCACGCGAGAGGAGATCCGAACTGGAAAGATTCGGCAGTACAAAGCGCGTATGTGCATGGTCGCATACGAGGAGGAACAGATGAAGACGATCATTGTGGATGATCATGTCCTCATCTGGTACAAGAACCGCTTTTACAGAGCCAACCAGTTCGCGGCCGCCTATGCCTTGATTCCGGTGGCCGAGCGTTTCGAGGTCTTGAGCGTCGCCAACACGACGTTCCAATCCCTTGCGTTGTCCAAGCAGGATGTGTATGCCGACATTCTCAGCTATGTCGATGACATCTTGCGCCCCCTCACGGAGGCCAAGGACACGGAAGGCGGAAGCCGACCCCTGCCTGCAACGAAGCAGCAGAACCCAGATGTCACCAGGTCCTCGCGTCCTGGCTACGGTTCTCATCAGGGGCCCACTCATGGCTACAGTCAGCAGGAATGGAATGACTACTACAATCAGTGGACTGACCACGAGTGGGAAGAGTGGCGCCGTCGAAACCAAGGCCATCAATATCGGGATCGACGTTGGTCGGGCTATCGCTGAGGCACCGCGGAGGGGAACCTCTCGCCTGGTGGATTTATCTTCATCTGAGGCGGGGCTTTTTCCTCTCATTGCACGGTGTCGCACAGCGGAAGCTGTTGCCTTTTCGGATTTAATTCGATTAGGCGATTAGCTTCATTTGCACAGGTGGGTGAGCGATTCCACCATCATTTCCAACACAAGTGTGCTAAGTCGGAATTTTTGCCAACCTAGTCAAGTTCACAAAAGTTCCATTAATGCTTTGAATGCATATAATTTGAAGCAGGCATTTGGCACTCATCTTATTCTTGCCATGATTCCTCCTTGCATAGCACACGGCTGGTAGTTGCATGAACCGCAGAGCGGAAGCTCTTGCCTTGCGAAGTTAAGGCATCTTTGAAGCATTTCTGAAAGCTTCCCTGCGGGTTCACATCGAAACCGAATTCAGCATTTTGCTTTAATTCATAAAGCTTTGCTTTGGCAAGCTCCCGGGCGTCCACAAGAACTTTTGATGCCGCGTGGAAACGCAGGCCTATGTAACGGGCCAAGTCCTTTTTCCACTGTGCATGTTCGACCGCAAGCCCGGTAGAGCCCAAAACTTGATACTGCTGCATTCGACCGAATTGATGTTCACTGCATCCGTTGGCCTTAATACTTGAAGTTGCGCCGAACGTTATGCATTGTCACTTTTGCTCTTGTTTGTCAACCTTTGCAACACTGAGGTGAAAGCACAAAAGCATTACCGAAGGATAGGCGGTGGTCGGGTTTGGGGTTTTGTTGTCTGTTTCCCTAATTGGTTAACTAACGGCATCCCTTACTGACTGTACATAGCCTAATTTGCAGCTTCATCTCCCGTAGCGGTAATTACACTGCACGGGGGGTGTTGTTGCACAGTAGTAATGTATGCACTAGCTTTTCACCCCTCCATACTGTGTTGCACTGGCTCAAGAAATGTGCACTGCGTGCAGGGTGTAGTATCTGTTATTATTGTGGCACTTAGCGGTTTCTAACCCGTTTCTACAGAATTTGTTTGGCTGTTGTGCCTTGGTGGCTCTTGGTGGCTCTTGGGGTGCTTTTCTTATGTTTATGGTCTTCCCCCACCTGTCAGGGGAGTATATTGTGAGTTTCTTCTCTTCTTGCAGTCGGTTGAATCGCGCTGGCGCTCCCTCCACTATACAGATTTTATGGCGAAATAAATGCGAAATATATGTCAGAATACGTTGGCGCAAACCTCCAAATACTTACGACTGTTCATATATTTTGCATTAGAAACATTTAAATACATTCAAATACGCTCCGTACCTACAAGTCAGAACCAAGTCAGCTGTGATATTTGCCGTGGCTTCGCCCGACCTCTCAGGTGGATGAATCCGTTTTGGAATTTTTGAGTCACCGTCCTGGGCACCCCACTACTTAGTGATTCACCCTGGTTACCCCGAAGGTTACTTTTGTATGCTCTTGTAGCTGTAGCAAATTAATGCAAATTATATTTCACCAGCAGTGCTACATTTGCCGTGAACACCCAATGCGTGAATATGCCTGAATGAATTTAAAATATAGAACCCGTGGGCGCCGTAGCAAACTTGCAAAACGAAATCTTCCCAATGTAGGATGTTCACCTGGGGGGTGTTTAATGAATTTTAATGCAACGATTCGGCCATTCATGCTCGCTGCATGGTTGATCGGAATAGTGGGACGCAAAAGAGAAACACGAACCGGGGTCAGGGCAATATCATGCAATATCCTAGCGAAGTCGGACCCAGTGGCACATTCGTCGCAAAAACAAAGGCAAAACATGGCAAAAGGCAAAACCACTTGTGCTTCTTTTGCCATGTTGCTCCTCCTCTCAACATGTCAGGGGTAGGCAGGATGAGTGCGCACATGTTTCGACATGTTTAGAATTGCGCGGGAAATAAGGACGTTTTGTCATGCAATGCATTGTATTATGCATTGTATTGCGTCATTTTTTGTTGTGTTTTAAGTCCGAGGTCGAAACCAGACCAGAAGGCAACCTCCGTTCCTGGGCACAATGGGAGCTGCTCAGGTGTCCGGTGTTCCCATGGTGCCCGGTTTTACTTGGTACACGAGGGGCATTTGCGGAACTTTGGGCACATTGGAACATTTGGGGGTGTTTGGGGTTGTGTTTCAGTCAGTTCGCCTTGCAGCTACTGAGTTGGTTCTGCAGCTTCCGGCGGCAAAATCTCCTCAAACCGGGATTACTGCAGATGAATCGGGTGAATACAGTAGCCCAGGAAGTAAGCACAATCAGGAATAATGTTGATGTCATAATAATAATAATGATAATAATAATAATACATAATAATAATATTATAATAACAATAATAATTGTAATCATAATAATAGTAATTATAAAAACGATAATGGTGATAAAAACAATAATATAGTAATATTTATATCGTTTATATACTGTATATATATATATGTTGATGCGCGTTATTGGAGGCGCGGCTCTATTCTTTCAATAGGCGTGCGATGGCATGCCAATTGCGTGTCACCGTGAGTCCGGCGTGCATATTGCCGCGCCCCCTCATGCCCCATATTTGCGGTGAGTTAAGGTTGGGCCCCAAAACGAGATGCGAGACACCTTCCAAGTCAATCCAAGTCATTGATTCCTCACCATGCCTAGGCTTGTCCCGGCGACAACCCTCCGGACTCCACCGTTGGCGATGCTCCGTCAAACCTCACGGCTCGCCCCAGCGTTGCGTCGAATCTTGTTCCAGCCCGCCGCACCGTCCGCCACAGTGAGCGGTCAGGTCGTTCAGGTCGTCGCACGGTTCAAAGCCACCAAACTATTCAAAGTGGGCACAGTGGATTCTCTGCTATCACGAGGCCAACCCGCGGGGCAAACCTCGTGATCAATGGACCAGTTTTTACTGGGTTGTTTGCACGCTTCTTAACTGTCACTCTGACATCATTTAACTATATCAATATCAACTACGATGAGATGCATCAGCACTTGGCCTCAGACTGGCTAACAATCTCAGGACAAGCCTAACTTCACAACCCACTATAAAAATGCAAACCTCAGTGAAGTTGTGGTTTGAAGGCTTCTCTTGTACTGGGTAATGGGGCAGATAATGGTACATCACGGGCTCACTGGGACTACCTTTTCTTGAAAAGCCAGAAAATAGCAGGCTCCCAGGAACACATGGATGAAATCGATCGCCGGAGGCAAACCATGCGCACCGGCTTTAGCGCTTTGTCAAAGATGACGGCACTGTCTCAAGCAGGAGAAAACTTCCGTCACCACTTTGGAACGAGCACAGCTTTGCTACCGGAGATTGTGGGAGCCACTGGACAACAGGCTGTGATGCAACTGGGCAGAAGATTAGAACAAGAGTTCTGTTCAGATCAATGAGGAAAAACAGCCCGATTTTGAAGGTGTCAGCAGACATGAAAAAGGAAAGCTACCCCCAAGATCCCCCCAAGATCCTAATTTCCATTTTGGGTTTGATATTGTGGTGGAAGGGTGGCTTGCAACTTTGTCGTTGCTGAGCCGGTTGATCTGTCTTCTTTGTAAGGGCTTTCGATTTTGAAGATTGTTTGGATATGTTTGGATGGCTTGCTGCACTCACATTTGCACTTGATGCTACGATGGGAACGCGGCGAATGCAGTCTTCTGCGGCATTCAGCCAGCCATTTGGTCGTTGGTCGTTCAATCACACAGTTTTGCATTCACCAGTCAATGATTTCATCATGGAGCCATATGTAGCCGTGCAGTCATTCACTCCTCCAAACACCTGTGTGATCAGCAAGCCTTCCAGTAGAGTAGGCAAGTAGTTGCCAACGTCGCTGCAGGGCACCTGGGTGTTGTGTTGTTTTTTTGGTTTTACGTTTCATGTTACGGTGATGATGTTCAGGGGTGGTGGGGTGGGATGTTGACGTTCATGTACATGTTACATTGATAATGTTACGCTGATGATGTTACGTTGATTATGTTGCGTTGATGATGTTATGTTGGTGATTTATGTTTTTTGGATGTGTGTTGTTGTGTGAGATATAATATACTCATGCGGAGGCTTTGAAATCGGCTCACCTTCGAATGATTCGACTGGAGCAAAGGATATGGCCATGGATGTGGCGCAGAACAAACATGGGAGGAAACAATTCACATAAGTTGGCTACCATGAGCAAATGATTTCAGCCTTCATTGCTAGAAGTAGTTTTTGGAAAGGGAAAAAATGGGCTGCAGACCTCGATGCGCAGTTACAAGGGGAATTGGACACAGAGACCCTTAAAACCACCAGGCGCCTCTCAGCGCCGTTCCCTAGTAGTTTCCTGTACTGTAATAAGCCACTAATCATTTTCGAAACTTCGCTGCGGCACAGCCGGACACTATATGATCTTATATGGCCTAAGCCAGCATTGATGACAAACCGCTGACGATTGAAATCCACAATGGTTGGTTCATACCACCATCTTTTCTTTTGATTTTTGGGCGGATTTAATTTAGTGTCTTGTAATGTCTTATCAAAATTCGTGTTTGTAACGCTTTGTGCCAGTTGAAGTCGTGCAGGTTCTGTGCCGAGTCGACCCAGACATGGGTTGATGATGATTGATGGTCAGGATTAGTTCTAATAAATATATATATATAATATATATATATATATACATGCACACATACATACATACATACATGCATGCATGCATGCATACATACATACATACATACATACATACATACATACATACATACATACATACATACATACATACATACATACATACATACATACATACATACATACATACATACATACATACATACATACATACATACATACATACATACATACATACATACATACATACATACATACATACATACATACATACATACATACATACATACATACATACATACATACATACATACATACATACATACATACATACATACAGGGTACGAGTCAAAATACAAGGTATGGATCAAGGCCCCGGACCCACACACGATCCATACCCCCCGATCCATACCTTGATCCATACCCCATGATACTGCATGATCCATGCCCTTGATCCATACCCCTGATCCGTACCCCTTTCTCGTTGAAGAAAGACTGATGCTGGCCCTAATGCTGCTTTTTATCCTAATACTGCTTCTGGTCATCGTACTGCTACTCCCGTTGCTACTACCGTTGTTTCTACTGCTGCCTCCGCTGCCTCCGCTCGCTGCCTCCGCTCGCTGCCTCCGCTGCCTCCGTGCTGCTGCTGCTGCTGCCACTACTAGTCATCTTCCTCTCAGGAGCTGCTGCTACTGCTGTCGCTTCTGCTGCTGCTCCTGCTGGTCCTGCTCCCGCTGCTGGTGCTGATTCACTTCCTCCGTGTGCTTCTGGTAGTTGGACAAATGCAACTATAGCTGACTAGCTACTAGCAATACTGCAAGTGCACCTTGGACGCTAGTAAGACCGGTTCTAGTTCCACTAGGTGCTTCTTGTACTTCTATAGTGGCGCTAAGATTACAATTCCTTTTGTTTCTGCTTTGCCTGGCACGTGTAGAACTAGACCAGACTAGAAATACCCCGCTCTCTTCCTTCGCAGCCATAGCGGGAAAGCCGACCCAGATAGCGTGTCCCGATCCATACCCCGATCCATACCCGTTCCATACCCGAACCCAGTCACGCCACAACAAATGCCAATATGAATGTCCGATTCTATTGCTACTTCTACTGCTGCTGCTGCTGCTACTTCTACTTCTACTTCTACTACTACTACTGCTACTACTACTACCACTACTACTACTACAACCACTACTACTACTACTACTACTAATACTACTATCACTACTACTACTACTACTCCTCCTACTCCTAGTACAACTGCAGCTGCTGCTGCTTCTTCCATTAAATTACTATTATTACTGTGGCTTTTACTAGTACTACTGGTACTGCTACTGCTATTTCTACTGCTACTGCATCTCCTCCTTCTATTGCCACTACTGCTGCTGGTGCTGGTTTTTTTTTACTGCTCCCTCTACTAGAAGTGGTAGCAGTTTTAGCAGCAACAGTAGCAGGAGGAGAAGTAATAGCAAGTAAGAGATAGTAGGAGTATCAGCACGGTTTGTATGCCATGATGAGCCCTTACGAAAGGGCACGGATCAGGCACCTTACGTAAGCACTCCCGATCCATAGTACGGATCACCGCGGAGCGATCCATACCCGATTTTTGACTCGCACATTCATACATACATACATACATACATACATACATACATACATACATACATACATGAATCAATTCTAAACAAGAACTGGGGACATTCACAATTCATTAAATAGCAGAACCATCGAACATCAGGACATGCTAGTGCCCCTGGAAACAGGGTGTATGGACCTCCAGAAATGTGAACACCGTCCAAAACATAAGGATTTGATCAACTTCTTCATGCTGTAAATTTGCAGCTGGAAGGCAAATCGTTGGAAGCCCCAGCCAAAAAAAGAAACATTGGGGTTTTGTGGTGGTGGAAAATTGATTGAGGAGTTCACCTGCGAAGAACGCCTTTGCTGTCTTTCTTTGTGCATGGGGCAATCGTGGGTCCCCAAAATCTTGACTTCCTCTTGTGGGCAGGGTTTCTTACCCTTTTAAGAAGGTTCTTGCTCACCAGCAGCCTGGTAGCACCGCAGAAAATTGAGTATTGATTAAATGTGATTAATTATGACTAAGTGATTATGCATAAATTATATTAAATTATGGTCTTCCACCAGGTGTAATGGGATTGAGTGCTTACCCGCCATGAGACCTTATACTGGATGTGCTGTGGAATTTTTAGCGGGGTTCAATTTGTCGCGCTGCCGCTCTCACACCTTCTCAGGCGAACCCAACTTGAAGATGCAGATGGCACTGCGCAGAAGCCCGTGAGGGCTGGCCTAAGTGCAATTCCGAAGAATACGAGGTGTCTTTGGTGCGAATAATTTTATTAGTTTCTTTCAGTGGTCCAAACTTTGGGTTGATCTATTTGGTGGTCTGCCGAGAACCCCTGACATTGTTTGAACCAGTGCCAGTACGGAAGGGAGACAGTCTTCTATCAGGTAAATAAGAATCTACAGTACCAACGTGATTCCCAGATTTATCCGGACCGTCACAGCATCTCTTAGGATTTTTGTTCCCCACATCTTTGTGTGGGGTTCTTGTTTTGGTTGTGCGCTCCCGTCCGCTCCTCCGGCCTCCTGCCTCCCGCCTCCTGCCTCGCGCCGACTCACACACAACCACACAACTTACTCACACACAAGTCATACACACACAACTTACTCACACACACAAGTCATACACACGCAACTTACTCACACGGAACTCATACACACACAACTTACTCACACACAGCTCACATAAACACAACTCCCTCACACACAACTCTCTCATACACACAAACCTTCACTTTGCATGGCAGGCGTGGCACTTGGCAACATCGACCTTCACTTTGTGCGGCCGGCGTGGCTCTGGTGGCGCGCTTGGTTCCCGTTTGCCGCCGTGGGCGCCGCGGCTGTTTGTCTGGCAGGTGTGGCATTTGGAAGCATCGACCTCCATTCCGACCTTCACTTTGTGTGGCATGCGTGACACTTATTATGGCACTGGGCTGGCTCTGGTGGTGTGCTTGGTTCCCGTTTGTTGGCAGCCGTGGCACTTGGCAATATCGACTTCCACTTTGTATGGCAGGCCACTTGGCGACATCGACCTTCACTTTGCGTGGCAGGCGTGGCACTTATGGCACTGGGCTGGCTCTGGTGGCGCGCTTGGTTTCCGTTTGTCGCCATTGTCGCCGTGCGGTTTGTGTGGCACGCGTCGCATTTGGAAGCATCGACCTCCATTCTGTTTGGCAAGCGTGGCACTTGGCGACATCGACCTTCACTTTGTGTGGCAGGCGTGACACTTGTGGAACTGTGCTGGCTCTGGTGGCGCTGTTTTTGTGGGAGGTGTGGCGCTTGGCGACATCGATCTCCACTCTGTGTGGAAGGTGTGGCACTTGGCGACATCGACCTTCGCTTTGTGTGGCAGGTGTGGCACTCATGGCACTGGGCTGGCTCTGGTGGCGCGCTTGGTTCCCGGTTGTTGCCGTGGGCCCGCGGCTGTTTGTGTGGCAAGCGTGGCATTTGGAATTTGGAAGCATCGACCTCCATTCTGTGTGGAAGGTGTGGCACTTGGCGACATCAACCATTTACTTGACGCACCGTGCGAAGAGGCAACCTTCTGCGTCCGCCAAGAACCTGTTGCAAGCCGTCCGCTCTCATGACGGTCTGCGTGGGCTGCTCGGCCACATTGCGCATGCTGCCAAGACAAATGGTTGCCATTCACCTCTGTTCATGGTGTTGGCACGTCGGTTATGGCTACATAACATATGATCACCCGCCACTTATCTACAATCTACAACATTTGTAGACATACAACACTTTAATTCACACTACGTTCTTACACCACACCTTTGCACACACTTCTGTCCCACACAACTCTTTCGCACACAATTCTTTGACACACACTTTACCACGCATGTCTTGGACACACAACACTTTTACACCCACTCCTGTCCACACCACTCATTCACCCACAGCACTTTCACACATGACTCTTTCACACACACCACTTTTACACCACACCTTTACACACACTTCTTTCACCAACAGCACTTTTAATTAATTAATTACACGGAACTCTTTTGCACACCTCACTTCGACACGCATTTCTTGCAAACACCGATCCTCCACCATCTCTTTTCTCTTTCCTGCCTTTCCCATCCCATCTTCACCCTTCTTTGGCTGCTTATTGGAAGAAATTGACATGTGGGGTTTTCCGGTCCTTTAATGTCAGATTGAGCAAACATTGGGTCCCTGACAAAGGATGTAGGTAGGTATAGGCTGTATAGGTGGGCGCTTCTTTTAGGGAATTGTTTTTTAGGCAAAAAACGATATTCATGTTTATATATAATCTCATTTTGGGTGTTGGCTCAAGGTTGCCGGCACTCTTACTAGCACTGTGTGCTGGTTGCAACCTCACGGCCTACGCTATTGAGTTTGCAACTTTTGCCATCTACTTCAAGCAGGTGCACAAATGGAACGAAGCCGCTTGGATATGTAGTAGTTCTTGACAACCCCAACCATGATTTCTTTGGGGCACTTTGTGAGTGAATTTCACGGCGTTTCTTCTTGGGGTACGAAGGGTATTAAGATTCATGGAAGAGCTTCACGGGTCAAAACACATCTCAATCTAAGGCAAAATTGGCAGGTGTCGCTCAGACAGCAGGGGATTTGATGGCCGCAGTCTCCATGCAAGTGATTCCAGTTTTAATTGGCAGCAGGTACAACCGAGATGAAGCGGGTTGTTTGCGGCGTTTTTTCCACAACATCATGTCTCAGCCCTACTACCTGAGTTTCGCCTTAGCTACTTGGGTGATCTTCCACATTGGACTGTGCTGTCCGGTCTTGGCTGTTGCGATTGTGGCGCAGGTCTTGATGGGCACCACCTTTGTATTTTGGCGCAACAAATCAGCTGCACAGTTAGTACGACGCGAGGGGGTGCTTAGTTCATTTCTCATCCCCGATAAGAACTGCTCAGAACGATAATAATGTAATACATATGGCAGGCATTCCTCATCAGGACCCCTTGGATGATGTGGGGGCACCCATACCCACATGAAATCCCCAATAGAAGAGGGATGCGAAATGGACCAAATGGATGTGATTCGATACTGTACTGTCTTGAGTCTTGGGTTATTCTTCGTTTTCACTTGCCCCACTTCTTGTTTACTTACGTTGGCTTCCCCATGTGTTGCCATCAACATGAAGCAAGGTATATGCTTCAAAGTGGATCAACGACATGAACACGTTCTACTCGATGGGAAATTCGACGACATTTCTGAGTCTGCAGGTCATTTGCAGAAATGCCGAAGCGTTTGGCGGTGCGGCAGCGGGTGCTGTTGGAATTTGGCTCTTCACTTTGGACCCCTTAGCACCGTTCGCCTTCGCGGCGTCTTTGTGTGGCCACTGGGATCAGATTTTGACAGACAAATAGATACAATAATTTATTTAATTATATATTTATTTATCGATTTTTATTAATTATTTATATTTATATTTATATATATGCATTACATGTGTGTGTAAATTATTTAAGCATCCTTATTTGTATTGGTGATAGGTCAAGTCAGCACACCATACTGCACCCGTGTGCTCGGTATCTGAGGGTTGGAACATCGTGGATGGGAATGCAGCTGGTTAATGAATGTCATCTCGGGTCCCTCGTGTGACCACCCTATCCTTATCCGTTTTTGATGTTTTCGTTTTTAATCGTTTATTGTTGCCTTGCTGGCTGCTCAGGTGTGACATTCCTGATCTATACAGTGGGGTTTCCTGTCTGTGAATGTAGAGCGTTGTTTGCATTTGTCCCCCTTTTCTTTTAAAGTACTGGTGCATGTAAATGCGCTATTTCCACCTATTTCCAAGGGGTCATGGTGGCCTCAATGGATGAGCCAACGGCAGCTTCAAAGGTTCTGTGGCCGTCTTGGTTTTGGAGACGACATCGAGACAGCTGAGGAAAAACGTGCCCGGCGCAAGGGGGTGAAACGAGCAACTGATCTGCATCAAGGCAACACTACCGAGATCTACTGAGCGTGGCCGGCAAGAAACGGTGACAACAAAAGAACGGTAGTGGATATCAATGTCATTTATCAGTGATATCAATGTCATTTACTGGTATTATCAATAAATAGAGATCCTCCTAATTTTTAGAGATCATAAATCATGTCTTTCATTCATTATAGCGCAGCGAAATCTATAAGATTCTATAAGATGCATTTCAAAACCGCCAAGATGATTTGCAGAAGATTGGGGCATAGACAAGTGTGGAGAGAATGAACAAAATACAAGAAGAGCAATGAAGAGTAGAGTCTAGAGGAGAGAAGAGAGGGAAAGGTAGAGGAGAGTGAAGATGAGAAGAGCAGAGAAGAGTAGAAACAAAGATGGGAAGAGTAGAGGAAAAGCAAAAGAAGAGTAGGGAAAGGAACGTAGAGTAAAGAGAAGAGTGGAGTATGAGCAGGTTGCTGGAAGAACAAAGTGAAGAACTTGGAAAAGGTGAATCAGCAGATCCAGAGTAAAGGGGGTCGAGAGCAAACATGTCAAAGAGAAAAGAAGAGCAACTATACAACGGGGATCATCAGCGGAATTGCGCAGAGGGACCAGCCTTCCCAAAGCACAGGTGTTTTGACACACATTCATTAGGGCACATTCTTGATTCTTTATCATTCTTTCTTTTGCCCTACCAGTTTTTATCTACTAAATTCCCGCCCCCGGCCGGCCCAGGTACAACTTGTATATTATAATGATTTATAGTGTAATGTAATGCATATATATATATATATATATCATATATATATATAATCGGTCGCATACAATTCACTGAGCTGCATTTATGATAGTTAAATAGTGGAACTGCTGGGAGCGATGGGAGCCAACGTCTTGACACATATCAAGAACATGCGACAATGATATACAGTATATAATGCGCTTAAATACTCAGTTGCATTTGCATGCATTTGTGACAGTTAAATAGTGTGTACTGCTTCTTTTCCCTGACACCCTTCCATCATCTTCCATCCCCTGTAGCAGCCAACAGTGGCTGAAGGGGTTGCAGTGGCTGCAGTGGCTGCTGCTGCTGCTGCTGCTGCCACCATCCAATCGGTAATATTCTGCAGGATGTGCAACTAGCATGGTATAGATTGGATTTGGCAAATCCAACCTTCTTAGATAACTCGCTAACGGTAGTAAATTAAATTGGGAAAAATCACAAAATAAACCTGCTTAGATCACTCACTAGCAGCTAGCGGTAGTGACTTGAGAAATTTGGCAAATCAAACCTCCTTAGATCACTCGCTAGCAGTGATGAATTGAGACATTTGGCAAATCAAACCTCCTTACATCACCCGTTAGCGGTACTGAATTGGGAAATTTGGCAAATCAAACCTCCTTAGATACCCGCTAGCGAGTGATCTAAGGAGGTTTGATTTGCCAAATTTCTCAAGTCACTACCGCTAGCTGCTAGTGAGTGATCTAAGCAGGTTTATTTTGTGATTTTTCCCAATTTAATTTACTACCGTTAGCGAGTTATCTAAGAAGGTTGGATTTGCCAAATCCAATCTATACCATGCTAGTTGCACATCCTGCAGAATATTACCGATTGGATGGTGGCAGCAGCAGCAGCAGCAGCAGCAGCCGCCGCCGCCGCCCGCCGCCGCAACCACTTCAGCCACTGTTGGCTGCTACGGGGGATGGAAGATGATGGAAGGGTGTCAGGGAAAAGAAGCAGTACACACTATTTAACTGTCACAAATGCATGCAAATGCAACTGAGTATTTAAGTGCATTATATACTGTATATCATTGTCGCATGTTCTTGATATGTGTCAAGACGTTGGCTCCCATCGCCCCCAGCAATTCATATCCAACCCCAGCTCACACGTAACGCATCCAACCATTTTAATTCACATTGTCACATTGCCATATTGCACATGTAGCTGATTCTATGCGAGTAAATTCCGGATCAGAAACTATTGAGTCGAATCAGCGTCACCGGAATCAACATCCAAACGTTCGAATCAGCGTCGCAGAATCAGCGTCAAAAACGATCCTGGATCAACATCAACATCGTCTATAAAAGGTTGGGATGGTCGGGACATGTCGGGACGGTTGGGAGGGTCGCGATGGTCCGGATGGTCCGGATGGTCGGGATGAGGGTTTCTTTAGGGACGGTCGTCATGGTCGGGATGGTCGATGATGGTCGGAGGGTCGGGGTAGCGCGCAAAGTTGCCATCTATATCGTCCCATACCGTCCCGATCCAAACCGTCCCGATCCAACCAATGTAGATTCCGATCCAGCTGCGCCGATCCAACCAACACCCGCTAGCGCCTACTTCTGGCCATGCCAGTCCCAAAGACAGATACGATATGACTGCACGCAAATGGAAGAACACGGAAGTACTACTCAACACTTCTTTTCATTTTTTGTTCAGATCCCTTTTGGAGCTAAACGGGATAGAGTTGGGACGACGAACAGTGACAAACAAAGGGGTCGCGAAGCGCAGGATGTCACTCCCGAGGTAAGTTCCTGGGCAGTCGACACTCGGAAGAGTCAAGGGTGACCCTCGTGCAAGCGAAAAAGTCCCTGAAGAGATCGAGTGACCAAAGCAAAGGGCGGCCAGTCACAAAAACAGGTTCGTTGGGGCCCGTGAAGAATAGCTGAACTTGGTCAATGCCCGTTAATGAACTTGGTCAATGCGTTAGCCATGTCCAAGACATCTGCTGACAGCCTGACTCTGACTGCCAAAATTTGGACGCCCCACCTCTCGACATGTCTCGGGATGTTTCAAGCAGAATCGCGGAGGTTCCATTGTAGCATGATGTTTGGTCAGAACATCGCCAAGTACAAGTAGTGCACACCAACACTTGAGAGTTGCATTGGGTTGTGTGGATCATGGCACTTGTGAGACATGTATGGGGCATCGTTTTCTGGCTTGTTTTCAAATTGGCCGCAGATCAAATTATTTAATATAAATCTTTTAAAACTGAGAGCTTCTTTCTAGCTTGCGGTCATCCCACACAGCACGAAGCGAAGTGCGGAAAAAAAGATTTGCCGCCAAGATCTGCCAAGCGAAGCCAACTAGTGGAGCCATGCGGAGCCTTCCCCCACTGAGGCCTGACCTCAACATAAACTGAGTAAACCATGAACCGCATGGCAGGCTGTCGGATGGAAGCCACGGCCTAGCTGTGTAGCAGTGAGAGCCGGGCTCCCCGGCAGTCCGGCTGCTTGGATGAAACCAGGAACTGGATGGAACTGGATGGGTGCATGATCGTTACGTGCAACATGGGTCAAGCTGGGGGGATGGGGTTATATAATTTTACATATATATATATATATATAAATATAAATATATATATATATATATTTATATACAATGTTCTAATATGTTCAAGTGATAGTGCATTGTTTGGATTTGTTTGGAACCTGCTCGTGTCAAGAGTAGTGAGTAGTGACTGTAGGACAAAGACCCATTTCGAAGCCACATTGGAGCATTATTTTTTGAGCATCTGGGAAAGGCGAGGAAGTGTTTGCGAGTCGCAAGGGGTCAGTTTTAAAGGACCCGCAAAAAGTGCTTGATTGAGACATCCAGCCTTCAGCGGCCAAAGATTCACAAGCGAAAGGCAGAAAAAAAGGTCTTGCGTGGCCCAACGTGTTCCTTGCCACAGAGAGGATTGTGCGCTTGGCGGCAGCGATTGATTCCAATGATTTCATAGGCTCTTGCCTTTTTCCAAATGGTTTGAAAGAATATTTCCCACGCTCCATTTCACATCCCTTCCGTCATGATTTGTTATGTTAATTTGAACTCTCCTGGCTTGCTGTATATTCAAATTACGTTCAAATTACATTCAATATATTTCAATATATTACTCTAGGTTACTAGAATCCTTCATAATCCTTCTAGTATCGCGAGCTTGGCAGGATGGTAATTGGCGCTGCGACCACTGCGGCGCCTTGGTGGTGGAATGAAGCGAAGATCCATGCGGTGGTTTTGGGTCATACCGTAGATGGACGATGAAATCAAACCCCTGCTGGATTGTTGTCGCCCCTGCATCCCCAAATTTCAATGTTGCCTTTGGGCTGCGCGCTTGGGGCCGGTGGACAAAAAAATCAAACCCTAACGCAGAAGAAACTATATTAAGCTTTGTGCAACATTGAAGTTTGGGGCCTGGTGGTTTACTTGGTAGGCGTTTGTAGGGTTCGATCTTTTTGTCCATCTACTGTCCCATGTCTATATATATTTCCTACTTACAAAGGTCTTTCTGCTGATCTAGTCGATGCATCGGCTTCCAACACTGCAAGAAACCATGACCGCAAAGAACCATGACTGTCAAGCACAATGACTGCAAAGCACGAGAACTGCAAAGAACAACAACTGCAAAGAAGAATGGCCGCAAAAAAGAATGACCGCAAAGAAAGATGACTGCAAGAAAAATCCCTACCCTGTTAAAAATGGAATTTGAGGGGGGGAGTCGTACTGAAATTTCATTTTAAAATTTCATTTTTGCAATCATGCTTTCTCAATGATCAATATTCCTCATCATTCCATGTCATTGGCAAGCACATGAAAATTAAATACTTGCGCTTAGCTCCGGAGGAGCTAAGCACATGTCAGACTGAAGCAGCACATATGTAGGGATGGCATCCCTCCAAAAATTGCGCCGCCGTCATCATACTTGCGCGGAGCTAAGCGCAAGTATTTTCTAACCAGTGCCCAAGGCTTGTTAAGAAATGTTACTTTACAATTCCATTTGAGGGGTTGGATCACTACCCCAGGGTTTCAAAGCAAAAAAAATGGAATTCGACAGCTTGGTTTTGTCCCCCCCCCCGCCCTCCCCCTCTATAGGGGTAGGGGTCAAGAAAACAATGACTGCAATGAAGCAATGACTCCAAAGAACCGTCACTGCAAAGAGCAGTTTTGGAAGGAAGTCTCGCCCGAAAGCCTCGTTTTCACATCTTCAACTTGCAGATTCTGAAGGAAGTCTCGCACCAAAGCTTCGTTTTCACATCTTCAAGGAAGTTCGCACGAAAGCTTCCAT